GGGACATAAAGCTTAGATAATTACTTCTATTATCAAACAAATAATAAACTTAATGTATCCATATCCTGTTAAAATTTGATTGATCATAAAAGATTTTCTGAATCTTTTTTTTAGAGTAAGTAGATATTTTTAGCCCCTGCACATGTAAAATAATTACCTTATCTCTCAAGTAAAATATAATTCTCATCATTGGTAAAATTATACAAAACGTCATATTACAGTAATACATTTTAATAAATAATCATATAATATGTATTACATTAATATTCCAAAGTTATATGATAGGCAGGACCAACAAAATGAGTGCAAGTCAAATTTGTACACATTAGGATTTAATATTGCATGTAAATACGTCGGAATTGTAGTTAAACTCTGATTCTAAGAGTGGGAAAACTCGTTTAGAAGAAAGTTATATAATAAAGAATGTAGTTTGCATGCATGTCCATGCAAAATAGTGTTAACATGAATGTGCTACATAAAAAATGGAGCTATTTTGATGCCAGTGATTTCGCAAAATTCAGCAAGCTCATCTGATTATTCAATGACTTTTTCTCATGAAATTTCTTCATAACAAGCTAATAATTTTTTTTTTATTCCCTATCCTTGTAACTAAAAAAATTTCCAATTAGTGTGTGTATTCTCCAAAAGCACAGTCTCCTCTTAAGCATATAGCCCTTATATAATTTGATATAAATCAAATAAACCTTCAGTTGAGCTTGCAGTTCTCATATGCTTTTCTGGTGGACCTAGGTATCAGGTGTTAGCTTCTTGAGTAGTGATATTGCTCATGTATCTGTAAGCTGTTCAATTATCATCTCTTTGCTGTAAGAGTCTAGCAGTTTGCTGTTATAGTTACTATCAACTAATTGAGAAAATTTATTTCCATTACATGAGTGACTTGCCCAGTTTCTAGTGGTTTTTTATAATGTTCTGAAAATGAGCAGACAGATTTTCTTCCAGACACCATTTAAAGTTTTTGAGAAATTTCATTCCATGAGTTTCTAGTGAAAATGAGCAGCCACAGAGTTTCAAATTCATGCAATTTGGGGTATTACTGTAAATTAAATTTATGTGTGTTTACTAATCAACTAAGCTAATTATATTATTTTTCTGTTCTCATTTGAAGAAAATATTTCATGTTAGCCAGGTAAATAGAAACAGTTTAATGTAGAACTTTTATAAACAGATGAAACATTTTGTTTCAAAATACAGCAATATGTTGGGGATTTGGTAAAATTATTAGTTTCAGGGTTTAGAATGACTGCAGAAAGTGATTGGTTTGATTTTTTTATACTGTAAAGTACTCTCTTACATAGATTTCTTTCTCGTTTGGCAGGATTGCTATGTATGTCTAATGGGTGGACAGAAACACAAATGAAACTTCTCTGTGCTATCATCAGCTGAATCCTTAAGTGTATAGTAGTTAGATTATCATCTGTAAAATTATTTTGTGTGAAAGTTAATTTTCTTTGTTTGTACTTTAATGAATTTAGATAATACTTAGCTAATTATACTGTCAGAATCTTTAGACCTAGTAATAAGCTTCAGTATTGAATACAAAAAAGGGGTTTTTGCAAAATGATATATTTCATATTTTCAATTGGTAAACAATTCTTCTTGAAGGAATCCCTGCCACCTTACATGTCCTCACATGCTTTTCTAATCATTTGAATATACATATGTTAAGTAAATAAGTAAGTAGTTTACCTGGCTCTGAAAATTTTTTGATATTGCTATCTGTGCTTCATTTTAATTCATGTTTGAGACAGTTATGTTGTATTCCTATCATCGTTTAGAGTAAAACCTAAAGTAGTTGGCTAAACATCCTAGCTATGCCTGTGAAAGGGCTAAGCTTTAATAAATTTCTAACTGCAGTTGCTTTTTTCAGTTGTTTTGGGGCACTTTTATTGCTGTAATTTATTTGAAAAACATGCTATATACTAAAGCAATAACATTAATTTTTTTCCGCATATGCTGTTTGCTTTTTTTTTTTTTTTTTCCAAAACTTGCTTGTTAAAAAAAACATTGTAAATGTTTTTTAAAATAAAATTATTTAAAAAGTTGTAAAGATTATCTCGCATAATAACTAAAAGCTCTGAAATTTTATTGAGATATTTTGCTGCTGGTGGTTTTTGCCATATTTTTGTAATGGAAATATCACAAGAATTATTTTCTGCAGTTTCAAGCTATTAGCTCACAAGCAAAATTTTAGTAGATTCAAATATGAAGTGAACATTACAACATGTTACACAGTAACTGCAGATTCTATTAGAAATTTAATTATACAAAATTTTAAAGTAGTCAAAATATTAGGAGTACCACAGATCCATTAATGTAAAATCTTTAACTCTATCTATTCGTACAAAATGATGCAGTTGGGTGGAAATTGAAATGGCCATAAATTAGGATAATATTTTAAGTTAACATGTAGGAATAGAAAGTTTACTCTGCAGAGAATGAATCAGACCCAAGGCTTAGAGCTGTAAAATTTGCAACTGTGTTAGAACAGTTTTCAATGAAAAGTAATCATGAAACTCTCGGAGTATATGGATATAACAGCCAAGTAGTAAGAAGGAAATTCTTCATTAACTAGGGGAATGGAAGTTATGCTTATCCTTATCAAAGAAAGATATATCATATTGGCATTTTAGAACGCTTGCAGACTAATCAGAATTAAGTCTATTTCAATCTGACAAATTAATAAATGTGCAGTGAAAGCCCAATGAAAAACTGTATCTTAAAATTCTCTAACCTATTGTTAACTATGGAAGTGGAGGCATAACACTGGGATGTTTTACAGCCTCTGCCAGAATTTAGTTTTTATGCCAAATATTTTTGGTTATTATAAAAATACAAAAGTTTCTGAATGAAAACCTGAAAATACCTGCTTAGAAGCTTAAAATGCATTTAAGTTCTATGAAATGAGTGATCTTATTTAGAGAGAGTTTTAAAATATTTTGTGTTTATTATATAACTGCCCTGCAGGTACCAAAACTCCTTCACATTCATTTCATTCGACATGTATGGAATTAACTAGAGAAGAGAACAAGGAAACACATTTGTTCAGATGAGCAATTGAAAGTTATTTTGATACAGAAATACAATTAAATATTCCCATACAAGAAGTTAACCCGATGCATGAAAAAATTTCAGCAAAATCAAATTTTGTATGTTTATCAGTTAAATATTTCATTTTCTGTTATTTGGATATTTTTAAAACTCCAGCACTTTCTGAATAAATTATTTTAATTGTTTTGAAGATTTTTTTTTTAAACAAGCCTGGTTTTAGATATGAATAATAATGGTGTTTGGGGAAAAGGTGAAATCGCAGAAGTACCAACATTCCCGAGTTAGGGGAGCGACTTTTGATTTTTAAGAATTCTCACACAAAACTGATTTACAACATAATTCTTCCAAGTTCCTCTTATTCATAAAATTTCCCATAATTTTTATGTGATGTGTTTTAATAATTCGTCATTTTCCATTTTCATTGAAAACATGATTTTTGGACTATGATGCCTTCCCATTCTTTCACTTCATCCACAAAAGAAAATCGAGGTTGTTTAATCAATGTGATACAACAAGACATTGCCTCTGATATGTCAAACATCATTCTCCATGTCCGTTTTGAGTACTAAGAGCATAAAGTATAGAATAGTGAGTCTTTTTTTTTTTTTTTTTTTTGTGTGTGTGTTCTCTTATCTCAGTGGCCCACCAGCGACAAAATTTTTCAAGTTTAGGACCTGCAGAGATTACACCAGGCAGCAAATTGCATAGTGTTGTCCTTGTAGTATATTTTTTTTATAAATAAATTTTGAAAACATATGTGAAAAAAAAAATACCATGAATTTTGGGAGTCGAGTCTGAAATTCTATTGTCCCCCCTCCAATTTCTTAGAAAATTAAGGCTAGAGTATTAATGTGATACTATGATGCTTCGCAGCAGATATATATATATAACAAATTTTCAGTTCTGTTTCGAGTACCAAACCCCCACTGCCAATCATCCGATGTGAGTTTTCGAGTAAAACTTGTCGGCCGCTTCGAAATTTGTTAGGGTCAGCGCCAGAGTTGATGCAACCTCTGTACAGGGCAGCTGACTTTAAAGACAGCAAAGCTTCTAAAACTTTTGGGAGTGTAGAGATTGCAGTGAGCAACTAAAAGCCTATTGCCAGTCTAGCTACTGAATGTTATGCCTTTATTTAGTAGATGTTAATTGTAAATAAATTTCAAAACCATAAGTGTTCAAAAAACAACATGAGCGACTGTAACTGGTGTTTCAGTGATTGTGTTATTAACTTTCTTTCAAAGATACATTTTTAAAAGTAAAAATACAACAGAATAATGAATGAAAATATATGCCGAATAGACTGTGCATATTTTCATCCAGAAATGTAAAGAATTGAGTCATTTAAAGTTCTGTATAGCGGGATGGTAATGATTGTAATGATAGAGTTATAAAGTGGAGGTAAAACATTAAAATGCATAAAACGATATGTTTGTTAGCTTCAAAGCTCTGGACTTGTATGAAAGCTTGAAACTGGATGTTTATCACACAATATATAATAAACAGTTTACTTTTTACTCTATTTCTATTAATTGGGATAATAATTCAGTATTTTAATGATAATATTATCGAGGTTTTTGGTTTGTATGTTTTTTGGTTACTGAACTCAGTAACCAAATCAGTATTCCATGTCTGTGAATCTTTGGCTGTTAAAATGAAGAGACTTGCTAGAAATACTGTTCACTTTAGTAACAAACTGAAATGTCATTATTCATCTTCCACAAATGTCTTATCAGTTTTGCTATTTACAAATAATGGTATAACATTTCGAAATTAAACCTTGAGCACTTCAAGCAATTTGAAGTATATTACAGCATTTTTGATAATTATTTCTTATATTTATAATATTTTGCAATAATTTTAACTTGTAGATATTTTAACTCTGAATTGATTTCAATAAAGTCTTGTAATTTTTCTCATTTTAAATTTTCTAGGTGTTTTTATGGGTTTTGGTTTGAGTGGTGTTGTTCCAGCTGTTCATTACTTAATAGCTGAAGGTTGGTTTAGGGCAGTTTATCAAGCATCTTTTGGCTGGCTATGCCTTATGGGCATGCTGTACATAACAGGAGCTCTCTTTTATGCTTTGCGTGTTCCAGAGCGTTTTTTTCCTGGAAAGTGTGACATATGGGTAAAAATATAATTCTTTCAATATTCATTTGCTTTTGCTGGAAATGTCAGATTTATATTCTCATATCTGAAAAAATAATTTAGTGGTAATATTTAAATTTTAGTTGGCCTTTTTCTTGAAATTTTATAATTGAAGAAACAAATTTGTATTTCTAATGCTCATTTTGGTTGTTGTTTAAATTGCAGGGAAAAATATGAAAAATCTGATTTTAACTGAAAATGATTAGCAGTTCTAAACATTGTTTTTTTTAGCTCATCATCAGACCATAAATTGGTGATAAATTATAGTAATAAAAATTGGGTGGAAAAAAAGAATAGGTTAAATTTAACTCTTACATTTTAAGGAATACAGAAGCTTTAAACTTACAAAACTTAGGGAGCAATCGGATTTCACTCTCTTTTAAATTGTAAACTGGAATTAGATATAAGAATATCCTGTACAAAAGTACTTCAAATGATACTTGAGTGATGATGAAACCAAGTCTCTAACCAATACAAGATGCAGAAAGGCACTTTATCTAGAAGCAATTTCACAGCTCTAATTCAATGATACTGAGAAATCATTATCAGAGGTTTAACAAAGATAGAGGTAGGATGTAAGATGTAAGATCATTTTGAACAGCGGTATTTGCATTTCACGTACTGCTGCAGTGCCTCACACGAAGGAACGTTGTGTTCTCTCTGCCATGTAAACAATCCATCATTATGGAATCATCTGCAATATCTGGGAACTCGTGCCCTTGTGGAGAATATGTGCAGTGATTTCGGCCATGCAGTACCAGCTTATCAGCTTCATCAAAACTAATAGCAGTTATGCTGTAGAGACGTTAGGTATTTTTTGAAAGCAGGAGTGATGAAAAATGAGCAATGCCTTCTCCGGAAATTGAACTTCCGACCTCTGGAATACACGCCAAGTGTGCAAACCATCACATCACGAAGGCATGCTAAGAAAGCGGGAGAGATACCTTATATACTCCCCCTTTTAAAGGGCGACTGTGGTTTTAGGAGACCCAATCGCCAAATCCTGGGTGTGGAGAATCATCATCCACGACCCTTTCAGTTCAGGCACCACTGTAGAGACATTAGGTATTTTTGGAAGAAGGAGTCATGAAAAATGAGCAACACCTTCACTGGGAATCGAACCATGGACCTCTAGAATATGCTCCTAGTATGCAGACCACTACACCACGAAGGCACGCTAAGAAAGCGGAAGAAATACCTTATACACTCCACCTTTTAAAGGCCAGCTGTGGTTTTAGGGGACCCAATCGCCAAATCCTGGGTGTGGAGAATTATCATCCAACCCTTTTAGTTTGGGCACCACTGTAGAGACATATTAGAACCACGAAGGCAAGCTAAGAAGGGGAGAGAAATACCTTATAATGGATATGACTAAAATATCACAAAAAGAAAAGGAATTGTACATTTTCAGATGAAAAGTGAATTAAATGGCCTTTCGAGAGCGCTGGTTCATGTCCCAGCAAGCGCATTGCTTATTTTTCATGTCTCCTGTTTAAAAAAAAACTACAGTGTATAAACTGACTCTACTGTGGCGCTCAAACTAAAAGGTGGTGGACGATAATTCGTCACCACCTGGATTTGGTGGCTGGGTCTCCTAATCCCCAGTCGCCCTTTAAAGGGGGAGTATATAAGGTATTTTCTCCTTTCTACCACCATGCATGTGGAGTGTAACGGTAGCACCCTCAGCGCATATTCAAGAGGTCCAGGTTCGAGCCGCGGGGAGGGCATTGTTCATTTTTCATGTTTCCTGCTTCAATAATAACCTAATGACTCTACAGGCTAAAGATGCAGTATTTGAATTTAAAGTAGTTTTAGTGACGTTAATTTGATTGGGTTGGAGAAGTTATCTTACATTTGTTACATTTTTAATTTTTTAAAAAACTTAATTTTACACGGTTATAAGGCAAAAATATATCTAAAGTATATCTAAACTGAGGGGAAAAAAAGATGATGAAGCTGCGACAAAAAAGCTCAGTGTGTGAACCCTTCCTGTGAAAGCAAGTAATTCTAATGCTGTTATGAAGTTAACTGAAGTGCAAAAAGCGTGTAATATTAGTTCCATGCCAGATGAAATTCTCCTTGCTATCAAGGAACATCTGATACGATTGCAGAAAATCTGAAAGAATATTTTCTTCCAATTCACAGCAACAAAGCATGAATAAGACACCCTTTTACAATTAATACAGAATCAGAGATAGGATTGAGATACTGAATATATAATTGAACTGTCTTGTATTACAGCACTTAAAAACAACTTCATGCTCTACATCATCATGTCTGATACATGGACCTTATAAGAAATAGACTAACCCAAATGGGTTTTCTCCTTCGTGTGAGGCATTCCCGGCTGTCACCTTGATCACATCCGGAGGAGTAGGGACGACTTGCAGAAATTTAACAGTGGTTGCCTATTGCAGCATGTATAATTGTCAAGAAAAAGCTGGTTGTAGCGCCTCATTTCGCAAATTAGAATTTCTACATATTTTTATTTTTTAAATTGAGATTAATTAAAAAAATTTAGCATATTTATCAAGCATAATTAACGTTCCAAATAATTATAAAGCTATTGCATGCTTTCAGGGCTGGATATTTTTTTAGCTTTTCCTATGCTGTAAGGAAATTTGTAACTACAATACATCTTTTCGAAAATAATATTTTAAAATCTGAACTAATAGAAAATCTCAAGCAAGCAATTTTTCTCTTGCAATTTTTATTCTTTTTTATTTTTATGCTTAAAATTACTAAAATATTTAAAAATTAAAAAAAAACGAATTTTTGAAAAGTTTTGGTTTAAAATACTAAATTGTGCTGCTTTTTTTAAAATTACAGATTAGTATTATAGCACAAATTTCTATAAAGGAATTTTATTTCAATTATATTTCATAATACATCATAGTGATGAAGACTTTTGACTATTTAAAAATTTTTATACATTTAATTCTTATATTAAAATTGTATTTAACCGTAATAATTAATTTTGCTTGTATTTTACAGTGATTATTTTTTAACTTATTTTTAATTCTGCATAAGATTTTTTTATTTACGGTTAATTTAATTTATTATCTCAAAGCGACATTTTGTGCTGTTTCACTATAAATGTCTGTCTTTTTGCAAATTGTTGTTACCAAATATTATCGCCCTGTATTAAATTTAAAGAAATTAAATAATGAAGAATCTGCAGGAATACATGTATGTTTCTTGCACTGTGACAAAAACGATGGTATCTAGAGCCATCAAATTTTGAATAATGTAATCCTCCACCCGAACATGGGCATCTGGATGGCCGAATTTTGAATTTGTTTTAATCTATTTCATATTTTGTAAAACTTTAACGATTTTTTGATTAACAAACTCAACGAGTTCAAAGAGAGCACTGTACAGAAAATAACAGTTTTATCTCCAGTGCGAAAATTCTAAAGATATGCTGTTTTCAACTGTATGTCATTTATGGGCGAAGAACATGATATTCAATAAATATAGGTAACACACAAAACGTTAAAAAAAGGTTCCTTTTGGGCGTAATATAAAATCTGAGTGCTTTTAGATTTTATTTTACCTTCCCCCCCCCTTCATTACACTCAGAAAATTTTATGCTCCAAATTTTATAAATTACTAAAATAAATATTCCACTTTAATGTTAATAAGTTAATGATGATATAATCAAATAAATGGTTGTTTTGTAATGTTATTATAGTTTTGAAAATCATTGCCTGAAAATGGTCATTAAATTAAAAAAAAAATATCAGATCTTGTTTAATTTTACTTTATTTATTTTTCAAAGCATAACGTACTATCAATCATATTTTAATTTTACATATTTGTATGATGCAAAAATGAAGTTCATAAATTTTGTGTGTAGAGTTTTTAAAAAACAAAAAAAAAACGTTTTTTTAATTTAAAAAACAGATGTTTAAAAAAAAATAAAAAAAAAATAAAAAAACTAAAGATGTTTTGTACAAAAACTGTGAAAAACTGCACGAAATGCAGTAAAAAGTGCTTGAATGAGATATATTAAATCCTATTTGGAAAAAACTGTGGCTTTCATAATCTCATCACTATGCAATGTTTCACATTTAGTAATTAAAAAGAGTTATGCGATACAAACGCCATAGGTTTCAGTGTTAAAGTAAACCAGATCGTCCCTACTCTTTCTTGCTGATATGTCGGTGACGCGTGCCCTGCCCACTGGGTTAGTGTATCCCTTATAAGGTCCATAGTCTGATATCATGATTCCATGATCTGAATGTGTTTAAATTTCTGCTGAAAGTGTATGTTTACTTTTCTTAAGTTCTTCAGCTTAATTTTGAAGCTGTAATTTTTAGAAATGTTGTTAAGTGTTATGCATCATTGCATTTATTTAAATTATGTAAATCTAATTATGTTGTTTTACTTTTTCAAATTTGAAGATATTTTGTGTATTAATTTAAAGGCTGAACCACATCAGAAAAAGTTTAGGAAAAATGTATGTGATTAGAAAACAAGAATGGAAACAAAGCAATCGAATTAAAGTTTTATTGTATAGGAAATTGATATTTTTTAAGAGCATACATAGAGTCTAAATAAAAGCCACATTACAAACTGTGAAATAAAATGCCAAATCTTTTTTTTTAAAAAAAACTTAAAATAGAAAAGTATGTTGATTGTAATTCAAAACGTATTTTAATGAAAAAATAATAATGCAGCTGAGGCATACTTAGAATAGTAAGGAAAGGCGAAATTCATCAGTGTATTATGTACTTAATGAAAGAGCCAAAATATCTGTCATTCATTCAAAGTTAGTTTTTCCTTTAACTCCAAAAATTATAACTATATAAAAGGGTATGGATTCCTAAAAACGTAAACTGTAATGATGATTTTATTCTACCTGTATTATTAATTCTGTCATGCTTGTGAATCAGTATCACAAATAGGTTATTCATGTATATTGCAGATATTAATTAATATTTAATAGAAATTAATAGATTTCTAGAGTGTGAGGAACAGTCTAAGGTTTTCAAAACTAGAAAAATATTAAATATTAATTTTAACTTAATCTTGAATATTAAGGTAACAAGTAAGTATATTGTATTGTTATTCAAACTTAATCTTGAATGTTAAGATATGAAGTAAGTATATTGTATTGTTGAAGAGACCCCTTGTATCCTGGATACAATGGCATGAAAGAATGCATATAATAAAGAGAACCAACCATATATCTGGTACATCTTAACAATATGCATATCAATGTTATAGTTTTTTCATTTAATGTGTGAGAAAGTAAATGTTTATTCTTGTTTTTATTGCTTAAAAATAAAGGACTTTTTTAATTCAGTTGACATACTTTTAAAGCAAGAACAAAGTATATTGTGAGAAATTTATCATTGAAATATTGTTTGGAATAACAAAAGAGAGATCTGTCCATCCCTTCATGGGAGGCAATGGTGGTCACCTATCAGGTGCTTCTGCAGTGAAATGGGCCACTCTTCAGCCCTTGTAGTGGTGCAAGGCTGATGGCTATTAAAATAAAACGCATGGCCATTTAAAAAAAGAGACAGAGAGAATTAACTAGATAATAAAATACATTTTTGTAAATAATAATATTTATTACAGAGCATTGCTGAAAGACAGAAAATATCAATTTCAGATGCAAATAAAAATAAGTGTTGTATGTTGATTAAAAAAAAAGACGATAGTGAAAATGCATAAATCATGTTTGTTTTAGATGTAGGAGGAGATACTTTCATTAACAAGATAAACACAGTTAAAATAAATTAAATAAAAAATTTGCATGCATATGATTCAGTTCAGAAACTTGAAAGTAGCTTTGATTTATATGTTTGCTAATTAAAGCAGTTTTTACATATTCAGCCTTAAAAAAAAATCTGTTAAATTTAAAAAAGTGTTTTAAAAGTATTGTGTGTATCAGATATGAATTTAAACATTAAAAAATTTGCATTTTTAGATATTTAAACATTCAGTATATTTAATTAAACATTCATATTCAGATTTTTTCACAAATTACAGGGAAGTAGTGCAAAGTATGTTTGTAAATAATACTTAAAAAGACAGAGTTGTTTATGGAAAGTGACATACCATCCATGACCATGAATTAAATAGATTACTTTATGAAGGTGCTAAACTTTAGGTGAATTCTTAGAATTTTTAAAGTCAGTAATTTCTTAGCTTAAAAAAATGAAAATAAAATTTCCGCTGTTATATGAGTTTTTAATTTTTTAGGTATTCATGCATTTTTAAAGTTAGTTAAAATAATTATTTTTTATATTACACTATAATGATTTTTACTCCCCCCCCCTTCACTGAGTTCTCTTGTTTTTGTTCATTAAATTTTAATGTACAGTTTTCAATTCTATAATTTCATTTCATATTTTTTCTCTCTTCCAGTTTCACAGCCATCAAATATTTCACATACTAGTGATTGCAGCAGCTTGTGTACATTATCATGGAATTACTGAAATGGCTATGTACCGCCTCACAATGGGAGATTGTGCTGAAGAGCCACCAGATTATTTTTCTCAGTACTGACCTGTGTATAGTCATCTCTATTTTGAAAAATAAAGTTATATTTTTTTTTAATAGGCACAGCTTATTTTTACATTTAAAAACACAAAAGTAACTTTAACATTATCCCTCCTTATTTTCAGTTGCATATCACAGTTCTTTCTATCACATGCATTCCAGTTTTCTGAAATGTTGGTTGTAATTTCCAGAGATAAATATATGAGCTATAAATAAATCTGGATTTTGTAAATATGCTAGATTCTGTGATTGAAACATGTAGCTTGTCATGTTTCTGCCTTATTGTAAAGTGTGACTTGTGTCGCATGTTAGTAAATTTTAGGCAAATAGCCGTATTGCTTGGCTATGTGTGTTCTGATATATGATGTTTTTAAAATCTTGATTTAAATTGAACATTTTATGAAACTGTGATTAGAAATAAATTATTATATAAGCATACAGTGTTCTGAGTTATTTGATTGCATTTGTCTCATTTAAATGCATATATTTAATTTTAAAAAGTTACAAAGAATTGAGAATGTTGCAAAAAAGCACAGACTGATGATATGAGTTATGAAATCACAAAATAATGAATTATGTACAATTAAATAAAGATGCACAGATATACGTTGGTGTATTTGGGTTTATTTATGTACGTGATCGGTTAAAACTAGTTTTTAATTTGATTTTATATTTAGCTCTGAGTTAGCATTGCTTCAAATGTTATAAAGTTGATGCACATAATGTACACATTATAATAACAAAGAGTAGGTAGTTACTTTTGTAGTTCCAATTCTATCCACAACTTCATTTTCTGTTCATATCAGTTTAACCTATTCAGATTATAGAAGCTTAAATGATTCCATTGACTTGAATTGTTAAGACAATATGAAATGTATTTTATGTTAAAAAATGTTTACAAGATGCAGAGAAATGTTGGCAGATTTTGAAATTTATCAAAAAATCTACATGCTCAATGTTTCTATACCATAAATAGTTAAATATTTTAATTTCAAAGTTTCTCCTGTTTTTCACTTGAAGTAAAAGCCTCATTTGGTATTTGAATGTATTTGTGAATTATATTTAAAGTGTTTAAAAATATTTGAAGTTCTCTCCAATGTTTAGAAATATTTGAATAATGTGTTTCTTAAAGCTAAATAAATTTGGATAAAATTTCTGCAGTATTTTTATCATTTGAATATTTAATTGCTGAGGTAAAAGTTGCTGCTTTTAAAGTAGATGAATCTGATCACAATATTTCATCACTTAGAAAGTGGAAATCTGAAGATATCTCACATATTTCTTTATACTTCATTTTAATTATGAGGTTAAAGCATCTATCATTCCCTTCATTTTTACTGTCAAAAATAACTTTTCTAAAATATTAAATCTTTTATCATTGATTTTGGTAATCTCATTCATTAAACTTTCTTTTTCGCTTATCTTCAAAGTATGTTTACAGATTCATATTAAAAGCTAAATTTTTACATTTCTCAAGAATATTTTCTCTTATTTTCTTTAATAAAGAGTAACCTGCCAATTCTCGTAGTTTAATTCAATACGACAAAGTTTGCAATGCTTACCCGTGTAAAGAAAAGAAATGTAATTGAGAATTTTTTAAGAGGAACCGATTGGTATTGATAAACATTGGAAGGAAAAATCCATGGATCCTGCCCATTTACTGAGATTTGAAGCCAGGTAATTCCTCATGTAGAGTTTTTGATTGCATGCTTTACCACTTTGGCTTCTTGCAGAAAAGTCCTTGCCTGCTTCTATTTTTCCAAGTATTTGTCATAGATATATATACTTTCAATTACAAAAATTTTTTAAATGTTGCAAGCATTCATATTTGTAATTTTAAAATTTAAAAAACAATTCTATGAAATTTAGAATTTTATGTGCTCTATCAGTCCCTATACACACATTTAGGAAAATTTTGTATTCATTATTAAAAAAAAAGTGTGATTCCCATATGACAAGAAGCTGTCAACACATTTCAAAATTTGCGATTTTAGATGTGATTTTAAATTTGCAATCAGGGGTCAGTTAATAAATAAAAGAATCATTCGAGGTTGATTCCCCCCCCCTCCTTAAATGCCATTAATTGATATTCTTTTGTGGTGTACTAGTGTCTTGTTTTCTAATTTTTTTACATTTGGTATGAGAAAAGAATTTTCAAACTAGTAATTTAGAAGTTTTCAAAATATAAAAATCCATTATTAATATTCTTATGAAGTTTTATTACATTGGAATCAGAAAATTTCATTAAAGTGTAAATATTTTTAATTAATGCAAATAGTATTTTGAGTTGGCTTGTTGTCATAAACCTTTAGCTTCAAATAACCCCACAAGCAGAAATCCAATGGTGTTAAATCACACAATCTAGGGGACCAATTCTTATCACTGAAACGAGAGGGTATATGGCCAGGAAATGTCTTATGCAGTAATTGAATTGTTTCACGGGCTATATGGCATGTGGCACCGCCTTGTTAAAGCCACATGTCGTCCACATCAATATCATCCAATTCAGGCAGAAAGAACTGTGTTATCATGTCCCTATATCGAGCACCAGTAACATTCCTTGCTTGACTAGCTTTTTTTTATGGTCCAATGAGGCCTCCAGCCCAAAATCCGCATCCAACAGTGACATGCTGAGGATGCATTTGTTTTTCGACAATCGCATATGGATTCTCTGAACCCCAAATGCAGCAATATTGACGATTTACAAAGCCATCAAGGTGAAAATGGGCTTCATCGAAATTTACGAACTGTGGCCGCCAGACTTATTTTTGAGATATTTTTCAACAATGAAAACACATTGTACTATTGTGTAATGCTTCTTTTCAACTAAAGACATGTGGACATGCTGAGGATGCATTTTGGGACATGTGGACATGCTGAGGATGCATTTGTTTTTCGACAATCGCATATGGATTCTCTGAACCCCAAATGCAAATTGACGATTTACAAAGCCATCAAGGTGAAAATGGGCTTCATCGAAATTTACAAACTGTGGCCATCAAACTTATTTTTGAGATATTTTTCAACAATGAAAACACATTGTACTATTGTGTAATGCTTCTTTTCAAATAACCCTAAACTATCAGCTGTCTAATGGTTTCTTTTTTAATAGGATTGCCAAAACTTTACTGCACGAATAGTGGCAAATTCAAATCTTGCGTTAATTTTGAGACACCCTTTATAAGAACTAGAGGAATATGTAAAAAGTTAAGGTTTTAAATTTTACACAAAATTATTTTAAATTTAAAAATACGAAGACATGAATGTTTGCTTCATGTAAAACATTTTTTTAATCTGAATTACGTGTTTGTGACCAGTGGTTGTGAAAATAAAGGCTGAGTTGGGACATGTGGACTATGCCAAAGTGAGTGACTTTAAATACTATGGCAGACCGCAGTGTTTAATGTCGAGAACATAAGATGTTTAATTAAACTTCTAATTAATTAATTTTTCTAAACTTTTATGTATATTGGCCTTTTTGCTTGTCTAAAATGACTGTGCTATCATTTGCTGGACATGTGTAACGTGTATACGAGCCAGTTTCCCTTAGAAAGTCCTCCACGAAGGCATCCCTCCTTTTAGGCAGATAGCCCTCGTGTTCTTTGCCATAATTAAATAATCCAATCCAATCCATTTGCTGGAGACTAAATGAATTTTATTCAACAAAAGTGCTACCATGCCAAATCAATTTAAATCGAAATGGGCGAAAATTAAAATTTTCCATTGTACGCTATCTCCGAGTTTCGGATTCCGGACCTACCGACTATTAGCCAGACATGCGTTCAGTTACAAAGACATGCAATAAGTAAGGGAAAAAAATCCTCTCAACTTTAGTTATTTTGTCTAGCTCTCCTGTTATCATAAATTATTTACTGTTTCCTTTATTCTAAAATATAATATATATTTAGAATTTATTTTTGTCCGAAATTATGGTATACATTTACAACTGTAAATAATATTGAATAAGAATATAAATTAACTTAAGTTGATGTGGGACCTAGCCTTTTCCAGGGTCTCTCGTGAACACACTGAAGTAGCTGATAATCATTAACAAATGTTATGTCATGCTGTTTTTGAACTACTTGCCAAATTTTAGACACAGTTATATGTGTTAATGAACACTCATCTGCAGCTTTATTTATAGCAGAGTTTACTTTAAGTTTCTAATAGTTGTTATTTTAAGTTTAAGCATGCTTTACTGTCTACCAGAATGAATTTTTATTATCGCGTTTTATGCAAATGAGTTAGAAGGAGTATTTAAGGAAGGTTCAGCTTACTTCGAAAGAGAGAGGCTTAGGAGTCCTTAGTGGCGCCTGTTTGCCGTCTAGGTACTTCGTTCTTAAATCTACTATGCTCGGCCGTATTGTACGGGTACTGCTGATAATCGCCGGCTAAGTTAAATCAAGGGCCGACTACGTTAGGTATTTGTGTCTAGCTTCGTCTAAGTCTGTTTAGTATTAGATTAGTTTCTTATTTTCTTCTCTGGAGTTTAAAACCCGATTGGAGGATTTCCTGTAAGCCTGAGAAGGGGCCAACTGTTAATATTTCTTTGAGTGAATAAAATGGTATTTTAATCCTTCTCTGGACTTTGCTATTATACACGTGAACTCAGTGATAAGTCGCTCTACAGGTTTACTCATTAGGTTCCTCTATGTGGAGCATAGAAGAAGTTCTTAACGAACATTATAACTGTTTGAACAATCCAGGTGGTGCATAAAATATTAAAACAAATAAGCCTTAGTTCTGCACTTTTGCTAGCGTGGTATTTCTGTAATAATTTAAAACAGGCATGTCATTGCGGTCATAGTAACGCTTCACCTGGTCTATATTAGCAGGCACTTCTTCCCCATTTTGTTTCTTTAAATAAATAACGGATTTCCATATACGTTCGATTACATATCGGCCTTCAAATTTTGGGCGAAATTTCCCGATCTTATCTTAAATTGCACATCATAAGGAATGCTTAAGTTCTAGAACTTTACTACTTTCAAATTTATCTCGGGACGTTTTTTGTCATAGGATAGTTTTTTCCTTTATTGTCCGAATTACGGATAGCTTTGTCATCTAACTTCTGAATATCAGGGTACTTATGGGAATTATTATTTTATTATGTAACATTTCTTGTATATATTTTTCTATTACTTGTTCTTTAAAATTGTCGTAACGATAGGGCTTTACTCCTTTAGGGAAGGCATTTCCAGTGTCGGTATTATGGCTCACAATTTGGATGTGGCCTGACTTCTCATCAAATAATTTATCAAAACTCACTTACCAAGTGTTCCACTTGCTTTTTTCTTGAGCTGGCAGGTACTTTAACTCAATTTACGGGTTATTTGTTTCTTCTTCATCCCGCTTCTGTATCTCCAATTGTAGCGTGGTCTCCTAATAATTTATTTTGCACCCCCTTTGGCTTTAAAAAAATAAAATTACTGGTGCTTGGAGATTTTTTACAG